AGCTTTATTTATATATATATATATATATATATATATATATATATATATTAAATATTTTCGGTGACATAGAAATATTATATATAAGGGGGAATTATTGGAGGGAAGAAATATATAAGAGAGAGTTATTCAAGGGTCATTTTGGGGAAAAATATTTAGAAGGAATTATTGGAGGGAAGAAGTTGTTTTCTTTATATACATTATTTTTATGCAACAACGTATTGTATTCTCTTCCATTTTGCAGCACAAATGGACCCTTGCACTAATGTCAGATTTTGAAATAGAGATACATTTGTCAACTAATGAATGCAAATATCAACCTTTTATAATTCGAATGATTTTTCAGTTAATTCTTTCGAACGAAGTAGCATTTTTCTAGCATCATTACACTATCTCACATCTTCACAAATCCCAAACTATCCTATGATCCTCTATTTTCATTCAAGACACGCAATCCTCTGAATAAAATGTTTATGGCTATTTTCGAGGATCCATATTGAAAAGGGAATGGAAAAATAAAATAAATAGAAAATAATACAGGAGACCCTTCAATGAACGGTGATATGCTCTTCAAACCTACCACATGCTATCTTGTATCATTCTTTGGAATAACCAAGCTATATAAATATAGGAATTTATCTCCTCTAAAACAATATGTATAAATTATGAGTAAAGATGCATTCATCATTAATTAAAATTACATAACTTTTAAAACTTACGAACTTAACAAACTTCAAACTAACGGTGAATACACAATTTCTCAATTTTTACAGCTCACTTTAAAGAATATTCAAGTCCAACAAAAATTTAAGATTAACATTATAAAAACAATTATTCATTTCTATTGTTTAATTTCTCTCGATCTAACATGAGTCATTAATTAAAACGGATGGATTGAGAAAAAAATAAATGATTAAGATTAAGAATAACTTTTAAAATTACTGACGGAGAATAACCGCTCTTAAAGTTACCCTAGCATAACTTTATCCCTCATCATACTTAATAATAGCAAAAACTGGCTGTTAATCTAATACCGTTTAATAGTACCCATCCAACGGCTACATACAGTTCGTCTCCCTTTACTTTGTATTTACGAAGCATCATTCACATAGAAGTATCCAGATTATAACAGAAGCAACACCGATTAATTAAAACCTCAAAATTCCATATCAACACATTCAGATACACTAAAATGGCAATGAAGCATAACAAGTAGGAAATAGGTTGCCTTTATTTGCAAAATGATGGCATTCCATCCCATAAAAATCTAGATCCACACAATTTATAATGAACAAGAATGAAATATTTCTTTCTTTAAACCATGATAACACAGAATGTTAGGAGAAAATTGTTTTCTTCTAGATGTTGGCAATGGATACGGGCTCTCGGAGGACCCTCTCCATCTGTTGTGCCCTGGTCTTAATAGACATGTCAAAGACCTTCTGGTTAAATTCCAGCACAAGACCACCAAGTATGCTTGGATCAATCTGAAAATCCAAAAAGTAAATATCCCAAATTAACAAAAAAGTATATACACACACATCAGAGGGGTGGGGGAAGATATCACACTAGTACCTTCTGTTCAAGATTAACCTTCGCTCCAGAACCTATTATCTCCTGAAGAGTCTCCTTCAATGCCTTTTCCTCCTCGGGGGGGAGAGGCTGTATAAAAATATTGTTAGGTAATGGAATACTAAATCACACTGTTCAATGAGATATCTTTATATCACATCCAATTAATCATTCACAAGCCAATGCTAGTAAAAACTTGAAATCAACCGGCACTCACCAATATATAAGCATATGAGCATTTAGAAGGTTTACAAAAGGAAATATGAAGCAATAAAACAGCAATGATCTGTAAGCAGCAGAAAATTCAGAAACAAAACATGTGTCTGTAGAGGTAAGCTAATATACTACATCTATCTAGCTTCAGAATGAATATTTAGCAAGCTACAGCTTGAATTTGTGAAAATACTCTCAAAGGTGCAACACTACTTACAACGACAGTGGTCACAGTTGCTTTCACTTCTCCCTTATATGCCATTGCCAACTCTGCATACCTCTTCGCAATTTTGTCTAGATTTTTAAGCCTTCCATTCTCAGCAACAATGACTTCACAACAAAAAAGATAAATAATCAATGAATCTTATATCAGAAAAATAATGTAGTTAGAGTTAGACTCTAATTAGTTTTAGATAAATGAAATCAATCATTTGAAGTGATACTAAAATGACAGCAAAGTAACTAGCAGTCATCCAAAACAAGAGATTTAAACATCCAAATACCATGACATGTCACCTTGAAGAATGCAGCAACAACACAACCAGAGAAGAAAAAAGAGACAGGCACAGAGCCACAGAGAAGGACAAGCTCAGAGAGTGAAGCAAAAACTGCAAACATAGATGGAAGTGTGTGCAAAACAGGTTTCCACCCCAACCTTCCCTATTCACATCTGTGGCACATGTTTTGCACACCACTCCAATGATTCAGTGCCTAGGAGCATGGTTGTCAATCTCTAGTGATAACTCGTAAACTTGTACGAGTTTACGAGTTTACGAGTTTAGGACAGCTTACCTGTACAACTCGGAGGTAAACTCGTTTTTAAGTAATCTCGGAGTAATCTCGGTAATCTCGCAAGATCACTTCCGATATTAAGAGATCAACTTTTTTTTTTCACTTACACAAAACGCATGTTTTGTGTGTTAGGGCACTCATTTAGCCTCGTCTCCTCTCCTCTTCATTTCCTCTCCTGGTCGTCTCTTCCTCCGCGGCTCCTCCTCCATGCGCCTCCTCTCCTCCGCGGCTCCTCCTCCGCGTTTCCTCGTCTCCTCCGCGCGTGCCTCGACTCCTCCGTGCGCCTTGCTTCCTCCGCGCACCTCTCCTCCACGCGTCTCTTTCTCCTCCGCGTCTCCGCCTTCGCTGTTCTTCTTCTCCGTGCGCGACTCACTTTTGTGCGAACTTGGTTAGGGTTTTTAAATTTTACTTATTTTTTTATTTGTCTATTTTTAAGAACTTGTGTTTTGTCATTTGTGTGAAGTTTTGTTAAGAACTTGTTTTAAGAACATTTATTATTAATGTAATTTGCTATTTTACTATTTAATATAGAGTTAAAATATTCAATTATTATGTTATTTTTAATTAATTAATTATTTATTTTTTATTAAGTAATCTCTTACGAGTTTACGATGAGTTTACGGAGCCTCCACGAGATTATGTAAACTCTCGAGATTGACAACCTTGCCTAGGAGGAATGATCTGTACCACTCCACCTATGACTGCGACAGTGTTGTCAGTAGCAGATCACAGAAGCACAAAAAGTTAAAATCTCCTACATCATATTGCAAATAATGTTGCGGACAAATAGTAGAGTGGATGGAATATAATGTATAACTATATAACACATACCTATGTGTTATCTCTGTGTGTGTATATATATTAAATTAAGCTATAGGCAAGGAACTGAAATAAAAGAGTGAATTTAAGCTAAAAGCTGACTTGATGGAGGGAAAACAGAGGAGGTTGAGTGAAAGTTATCTTCTTGAGAGGCAAGGAAATGCAAACTTCGTGAAGAATGAAAAAGAGTGACATGGGGAAATAAAAGAAATCTCTAGGACGCCTATTGGGCTTTTAGTTTAAAAACCAAGCCAGCCAAACTGACTATTAAGACTAAACAGAAAAAAATAAATAAATAAATAAATAGCAGACAGACGTGGCATATGAAATAAAAAAAGTCATTTTAGTTGGGCAACCCACAAGGCCCACCATAGCCTGAACCAAAAGCCCATGACACCTGACCACTGAACCCTAGTTGATGCAGTGTGTCCTCCACCCACTTGCCAGACCCAACCGGCAGCACAGCAGCATGAAGCAGCCCAGCTGGTGACGCAACACCCATGACAAAAGACAAAGCTGCAACTTGTAAAGACAATTGCCTTTATTGCTGACTCCACAACGTGACAACATTGCAATTGTGTTTCTGCTGAAACCCACAACACAATTGCATGATAGCACAAGTGCCACAATGCCCGCTATTTGACAACTCACAGGAGGAAAAAACTTGGATTGTCAAATGAGTTGGCATGTGAGTTTGACAACATTGATTGTCATGCTAAGTTAAATTGTAATACTTTCAGACCTTTTTATGTAACTCCCAAAGGCAAAATTTGTTAACGGTATTATTCTAGATGACCAAACAAATTTATAATTCACAAAGCCAAAGCTAAGTACACTACAAGCATTGAATTCAGACGACTCTAATAGGTCCCAATTTGTGGAACAGGTAAGCGGCCTAATGTTTGGAGAGTCTACACTAGGAGAATACGAAAGCGGATTAAGAAAGAAGCATGACTTCTTATTCTGTATATTTTTCCTTATTTTGAGGCATGATTGCTATTATTGAAAAGGGTAACAGTTATAGTGGGGTTTACCGAAGGTGAGGGGTTATCTCAGCATTGTCATTGCTTTTACTCTTCTGTCAAAGGCTTAGGCAGAGTGTTTCTTCTCTGTGAAGCACTTACTCTGAGAGGTTATAGTCTTGTCATAATTATCCCTTATTTCTAACTTTCAGCAACACAAATACACATTTATAGGAGAATTACCAGTACAAGATACACCAGAGACCAGCAAAAGGCTGGAAGATGGCCATCACATGTTGACAAGTGAAAAATGTGACTTGTGTGCTAATTTGGGGCCTGTCACAGATGATGTATCTGGTTTTATCTTTGAAATTGACAGCTTGGATTTGATCTAGGGAATTTCATGGTTATAGACTTCGGAAACACTGCAAACAGACTAGGGCAAATGGTCACGACCTACTACAGTGAAGGTGAAAGATTAATCACCCATGGTGTATGGTGCCAGATTTCTTTTCACTACCATATAACTCAGCCCTTTTCTATTTTATGTAATGCTCCCAAAGGCAAATTATTAACAGTATTATTCTAGACAATGTTGAAACAAATTTATAATTTGCAGACTGACAAAGCTAAAGAGAGCTTTAAATTCAGGTGACTCATATAGATAGTCAATTAACAGTTAAGCTCCAGATTACTGAAAGCAAAATAGGAGCTAATTGGGTGATAAGGAGCTATACATTGAGTTTAATTTCTAATCAAGGGAAATAAAATAAAATGAAGATACAAATACAAAATCCACTGAGATGTGAACATTTAACAATAAGCTGAGGTAGGTGCTACAGTAACATGAAAATGATTACAATTGAAATAATAATAATAGTAGTAGTTGTAGTAGTACAAGAGCAGGATTGCCTCCAATAATTAACTCACATTACATGTCCAAAATCAAATACAGACATATAGAAGAAGGGAGAAAATTCAAGCAGAATAGCTAAAAATGATTAAAGGGAAATTAAGTACAGTATTATGTGAATGTGTAGTTACGAGAGAAAAAAGTTTTGCTACTTTCAAGATTAATGTTCTAAAGTCAGAAGCAAATTCACATGTGTCATGCCAACTCGTGGATTAAAGATCCAAGCAGATAACTCTGCTGCTTTATTATATTAAGTATTATGTAAAACCCGTGTCCAGGGATTAACCCAAAAATAGGTCAAACATTGCAGTGATATGCCTAAGTTACACAAGTATTAATTTGATGAGCCATTAAATGCTAAACAACAAAAAATTCCTAAGAGAAATTTAATTGAAAAGTTGTATGAAAATGTAAGCTCAAAATTAAATTCTAGAAATTGCTTGCATGCTTGAGGGACCATCAGTGCAAACAAAAACTTGCTTTCTCTTGTTTGAAGGAAATTCTTTTTCTGGTGCAACAATAGAAGAATGTCTTGTAGGGTTAAGAGAGGAAACAAGAATGCGAGAGGAAACAATAGAAGAATGTCTTGCAGGTCTAAGAGAGGAAAAAAGAATGCAATCAATTTTTCAAATTAATGAAACTAATAGAAAACCAAGAGCCCAGGCTCTAAATGCAAGAAAGCTGTCCAATCTCTACATATGACCAATAAACTCTCTCAAAGAATTATACATGGGGCTAAAGATGCAATCTAGAAAAATTTGGGTATTCCACTCCAACCAAAATGCACGAGAATAATGATTGTGATCTAGGTAAAATTAATTGAATGCGAATAAATGTTTACAATTTACATTAAATTAAATCTTCTTAGCCAAAAGGTGGAAATAGATGCCAACGACAGTAAATAAACAAATAATTTGTCTCACTCAAGCCGTCAAAACCAGAAGGATAGCAATGTACATGGAATGTAACTTTGTAAAAACATACTACAATATGACGCTTTTCATACCAAGGAAGTTCTTTGTAACATCCGAAAACTTAGCTGCACCGCAAATATCCTGGAAGGCTTTTACTCTAACATTCTTAGCCACAGACAAGTCCTTCATAAACAGCGAAAATTTGGCACTACCCTTTACTGCCTCGACAAATTGCAGAAGCTCAGATTCAACCTTTTCCACAGCTTTAGCCTTCACAGATGCAATATACAAAGCAGAGGCATAGTTTCCTGAAACCCCAAACAAAGCCAGGGGGACCTAAAAGCAACAAAAACAAACCCGACAAAGAAAAAACAGATCAAGCCATCCATAACAACAATCAAAACAGGAAAGAAAAACTTTTTACAAACATTCAATCAGTCCTAGTGAAATACACTAAACGACGAAAGAAGAATATTCTTTTGGTTCACCACAGGTATCATCCTTCAGAAAAGAAAAAAAACCCGGTTCGAGACACCATCAGACAATAAATGTGGACACCTCACCAAACAAAAAAATCAAACCTTGCAGGAACCAGCCCCTTCCGCTAAATATAACCACCCCACTTAACAAACTATTGAACCGATAACACATCGAATTTAGTCCCTGCAGTTTCATTCAATTTCAATCAAATGTACACCGTTTTTCACATATCTTCTTATCTCCAACGAATCACATGAAACAGAGCACAATTCAAGACCACTGCATTCCATTACCTTGACTTTGTCATTCTTTTGCCCTGGCACGCTGGCGTAATCTCTGGAGGCCTGCACAAGATGAAATGGGAACAAGTTATGCAGAAATCAATAATGCAGAGCAATAATAAATCGTAGGCTTCAAAATTTAACACGGATTGAGGGCGTGGAAGAGAAATCAGAGGGGAAAAAAAAAGAAAAAAGAGAGAGGGATTCAGATTCGTTTGCGTTTGGAATTTTCGCTTCTTACGAGGGGAATGGAAGGGGCAACGAGGGATCGTTGAAGAGTGGATCGCTGAGAAGTGAGAAATCCGGCGCTGTTGAAGAGAGAGATTCTCGATCTGACGCGGTTGCACAGTGCCATCACTGCAAAACCCTAATTTTGTCACCGAGTTTGGTTCAGTAGTTTGGAGAAACGCTATGAGCAACTGAATCTGAATAGGGCTAATGAAGCCGCAGGAGACGCAGCAGTGAATTCTGACACGTGTCTCACTGTTTTTTTTTTCTTTCTATTTTTTCCTTCTTTTGTTCGAGAGTTAGAAAAGGACAAATAATAGACAATATATTTCTTTTACATATGGGCAATATATTTTAATAGTAATTTTTTAAAAAATTAAAATGAAAGATTATTTTACTAAAAGATATTACTAATACATTTTGTCATGATTTTAATTGCATTTTGATGTGATTTAAAGTAAAGTAAAAAAAGAAAAGAATTATATTATCAATTTGTTTAATAAAATAATTTGTGATAAAAGAAAAAGTTCCTTTTGGAAAATATTTGATTTAAAAAATATGGTGTGAGTATTAAAAAACATCTCTAATAAATTTCTCAAAAATGTTGCATTCTTCTAATAAAATAGCTGAAAAATCAACTAATACACGCATAGTGAATATTATATTTTAAATTTTTTTATAAATGTTACTTTATTATTGATTCGAATGATTTGGCTAGGCTTTTCCAAATGTGTAATATCATTCTAACTCTCTATATGACTTGGTCCTAATGCCTACCTGGAAAACACCCTATATACAAAATATATATATATATATATATATATATATATATATATACCATCTCGTCCAACAGTTGCTATGTAAGCCCCATCAGTTGATATATATATATATATATATTTAAAAGCTTTACACTACTAAAAAAATTATTATCATTTAATTTCGTGTCAAAAATGAAATTAAAAATTAATATTTAAATAATTTTTAGTCTTTGTTGTTATTTTTTTATTGTTATTTCTCCAAAATTTTAAATCATTTTTTTTGTGTCAGTAAAAAAGAACAATATTTGTTTTTTATCCTTATAAAAAATTATATTAATAATGTTTATTTTACAAAAAAATTTATTTTTTTTTAAAGTGTCACATGTTGATATCAAACCATATATATTCATAAGTATCACTTAAAAAGCTCATTTGACCTCTCATTAAATACATTAGTAGTTTATTAGTGTCAAAAATAAAAAATAGCATTATCCTCTTCTTAGGTATGAAGTTCTCTCAGGGAACCTACCAACCTCAACCCCACATTGCTGAAGAATTATTCAATTTTCCTGAAGAAAATCTAACTGTCAAACAGATTCAACAATTCCTTGGAATCATAAACTACATTCGGGATTTTATTCCCAAAGTTGCCAGATACACCAGTCCTCTCTCAAAATTGTTGAAGAAAGACCCCCCTCCTTGGGGACCAGAACAAACCCAAGCTGTCCAAGAAATAAAGAAGATTGCGCAGGATCCTCCTGCATTAAAAATTCCAGGTGATGGAAAAAGAATTCTTCAGACTGATGCAAGTGATCATTACTGGGGTGCCGTCTTCATTGAAGAAGAACAAGGAAAGAAATTTTATTGTGGACATGCTAGTGGACAATTCAAAGAAGTAGAAAAGCATTATCACACCACATACAAGGAAGTACTGGCCGTAAAAAATGGAATCAAGAAATCTGATTTCCATTTGAAAGGACATCATTTTGAAGTCCAGATGGATAATTCCTCATTCCCCAAGATTCTGGATTTCAAGAATAAACTACCACCTGAACCTCAAATCTTAAGATTGAAGGATTGGTTTTCCAGGTATGATTTCACTGTTAAACATATTAAAGGAAAACACAACCTCATTCCTGATTCCCTTTCAAGACCTATCATCTTCCCATAGCTTTCCATTGATTTTCGTGGTAAAACCTTTACCTACTACAGCAAAAACCAGAAGGCTATATCCTCCGGGTTTTGAACCAAAAAGTCCTGAAGAAATTATCCAATTTGCCAAAGCTCATTATTTTCATTATCTTCATGAAACTTTAAGGTTTAAAACAGTTCCCCCATCCATGTTTGATCCTACAGAAGAACATCCCGGAATTTTTGAACTATTCTGTGAAATTGGGTGGGATTTGTGTGAACCAACCCTTTGGGCCATATGGTGTAAAACTGTCCAAAGCCCAATCCCAATAGCCTTGAGAACACAGTTAGCTTATGATATTATGATAAATCCAGATAAATCCGATTACTTGTTCTGGACTTTATTAGAATGGTTTTCACTTCTAACCTGGTGGAGACGTGAGTTAAAAAAGACTCTTGATTTTCAGAGAAATCAACAGGGAAAGACTAGGAATCAATGTGAATCCTTAACCTCCATTATTATCATCAATCGTCCTTATTTCCAGAAATCAACAGGACAACTGTGGTCCAGAAATGAAGCTTATTTTTGGGGAACCTTTGAGACATACCCTCTAGATCAAAGTTATAGAACTCAGTTGATTAACCATCTCAAGGAAACAAGGATCCATCAGAAAAGCCAAAATGAAGCCAGCTCATCACACAGTCGTCTAATTCCTACTCAGACAAGTCATCAGGGTATCAATGCTTTCATAAGCAGAACTGAATATTACATTCCTGATGAACATTTCCAGACAGCTAATGACCTAGGAGGAAATGACGAAGACCTCTACTATGAGGAATTGATGATGCACAACTGTTCGGATTCAAATGCTTCAGACCCAAATCTCTCTCCTAGTCACGAACCCATCATCAAAGGAAAATAATCATGGGAATCTGCTTTAAGGAATCTGCTTTAGGAGCAGTCTTCCATCTGTTGTATAATAAGTGTGTACGATAGTTTGTATTTTATGTGAGTCATGACCATGTAGGTCCTTTGTTTGTACCCGTTCTTATCTTCTAAGTCAGGATAGTCTGTCTTTGTGTATGAGTCACACCCCACGAGGGTCCTTTCTTGTATTCATCTTTTAGTCAGCCAATCAAAATTGGCCCATGTGTAAAAAATGCTGGTAGCTGAGAACCCCTCCAAGTCTATATAAGGAGGCATTCTCTCAGTTTGTAATCAAAAGAATTCGCAATAAAATCTCTTGTGTGTTTATTACTCATGGATTGCTAAACCTCTCTTCCTCTCTTTCGAAAACTCTTGATCCTATTATAGTATTATGTTCTTAGTATCACATGTTTGAGCTAGTATGCTCTGTACTTGCCTCTTGAAGATGATCTTGTACAACAGAACGCTATGATAACTTGATCCAGTATTTTCGGTCCTTAGGACTTATGATAAGTTTGTTTGATATAAGACATGGGCTGAAAAGAGTAGGCGAGGGATTCAGAAAAAATAAGCAAGCTTCTTATATTTGGCAAATGCGTGATAAGTTTCTAAAGCTCCTGACCATAGTGGTATCAAAACAATAATGCTATTTTTTATTTTTGTTTTTTGAGATGGAAACCATAGAATATCTTTTTGTAATTACCAAAACTAAATTTTGTTTATTTTATAGAAAACAAAAACATATTTAACTCAAAAATTAAACTACTACTTTTAAAGTCAAATGAGTTTTTTTTTATTACATATTAAAAATAATAAATGAATAACACATGTTAAATGTAAAAATTATTTTGTGAGTAAAATGTTGGTACCGAAGTTAGAACCAACATCAAATATATTATTCAACTCATTATTAAATCAACCCCAGTAGATTGTAAAAAGTAATTTATTGAAATGAACACGATCACATAAAATTTTATAAATATGATTTATAAATGAATGTGATCACGTAAATGATATTTAATGGAAGTAGAGAAATGAATGAAAAATAAAAAATTAAGGTATTCAAATTACAATAATTTCAACAAGGTAAGAACTCAGGACATTGTGTATACTATTCTAACCTCAATCAATTTTCGATCTAAATTAAAGGTATTTCAAACAGTTTGTTCTTAAAAAAATTATGTTCATTTTTCAGTTATGTATTAGTTGTTGTGCATGTGTTGGGTAGTGTAGGTAAATGGAACATGTTTGATGGAATCAAGCTCTAGTAATGGAAGCATTGCCTTCTTTGATTCATATCCCTTTGATCTCTATCCATGACTTCAAAACTTGAAAGAAACTTCAAAATCCATTCCTAGGACTAATCCTTTGAGTGGTAGTGTTGAAATTGTCCTTTAATTATTGCTTTGAGTCTTTCTTGGCTTTCTTTGAGTTTGTCACAATAACTCTTATTTTAGTTTAGCCTCTTATAATTGTGCATTTTTAGTTTTGATTTTATTGGACTCCACATTCTCTTGATGGTTGTTAAGCCTTGACAAAGTTAGTTCCATTTTCAAGTCATTACACTTGGAAAGGAGTGGATAATTGAGACATATTGGATTCATCTCAAAGAGGCCACAACTTGAGGGAGATTGAGGTAATAAAATCATTGAGTGAAACACATTGGAAAGGCTCACTTGTTTGCTCATTTTGCAGCCAAGAAATTTTTTGTTTTAGGTGGCAGATTTAGAGACAGATTTAGAGACGGAATAAGAGACGGATTCCAGCAAAGCTGATTCTGGTACCAGCTGAGACAGAATTAGCGACGGATTTCCAAGAGCACTGTTCCAGCAAGGGAAAACTGTACCTCAGAGATGCATTTTAGAGACAAATTTTCATGAACAGTACCAGGGGCTCCAAATCAGTCACAAATCTGTCTCCAAATTTGGTCACTAATTTTTGGTGAAAATTTTCAATTTCTTGTATTGTATTTCATTCTTGTTAATTTCTTGCTTTTCTTTGTCAAATCAAACTCACTTTTAGAAGTGGTTGTTTGGGAAATTCTTTGCTTAAACCCCACCACTTCCTAAATAGTTTTAAATAAAGATTCCTAAACCGGTTAACACTTGTGGAAGTGTCCCTAAAAGGCTTCAAGTGTCATTTGGGCTTCCACTAGGATTCAACTAGTTTTATTTCTTTTATAGAACGTGTAGTACTAGTGGAAGTAGTCTAAGGGATTCTTAGTATCACTCGGACTTCCACCCTAGGGACTTTGACTAGTATATGTTTTAATTGCTTTCATTCGTTAGTTTATTTTCTAATTGTAATTAGGAATGTTTCCAAAGTTTGTTTAGAAGGTTTCCTTGCCTACTCGGGATTTCGTGCACACACACTATTATTTGACTTG